CGTCATCAAATTGTTGCTGGGGATGGTTAGACAAATTTTGGTCAGCTTTATATCATCTACACGATATTCCTAACAACCATACAAAATTTGATAACTATCAATTCGGTAGTTTCAAAGATTTTCTGTTTAATAAAAATCTACACACATGTTCAATAGACCAAAAAATAGTCTAAAATTATTTCGATAGAACTTCTCTCGATTTTGAAGTACAATCCAACAAAAAATACAGCTTCTCTGAAAAATTATAAAATTTGATTTTGCCGAATTTTACTTTTTCGTGATAACGAGAAGATTTAATATTTTTAAAAAAAGACATTTGGCACCCCCGAGAAGATTTTACGACAATCGGGACCTCCGAGAAGGTTTTACATTAAAAAAAAGACAGTTGGGGCCCCCGAGAAGGTTTCATATGGTTAAATAAATACATTTGGGGCCCCCGAGAAGGGTTTATATTTTTAAAAAGGTAGTTGGGACACCCGAGAAGATTTCGCTTTATTAGAAAAAGACATTTGGTGCCTCTGAGAAGGTTTTACATAAAAAAAAAACAGTTGGGACCCCCGAGAAGGATTTACATTTTTAGAAAAGACAGTTGGGATCGCCGAGAAGGTTTCACATTAAAAAAAAAAACAGTTGGGGTCCCCGAGAAGGTTTTACATTTTTAAAACCGACAATTGGGACCCTCGAGAAGGTTTCACATTCATAACTAAATGCATCTGGGGTCCTCGAGAAGATTTTACATTCTAAAAAAAAACATTTGGCGCTCCCGAGAAGGCTTTACATTTTTAAAAACGACAATTGGGACCCACGAAAAGGTTTCAGACTCATAAATAAATGCATCTGGGGTCTTCGAGAAGGTTTTACATTTTTAAAAACGAGAATTGGGACCGTCGAGAAGGATTCACATTCATAAATAAACGCATTTGGGGTCCCGAGAAGGTTTTACATTAAAAAAAAAACAGTTGGGACCCACGTGAAGGTTTTACATTTTTAAAAAAGACAGTTGGGACCCCCGAGAAGGTTTTACATTTTTAAAAAAGACAGTTGGGACACCCGAGAAGGTTTTACATTGTTAATAAAAGACATTAGGCGTCCCCGAGAAGGTTTTACATTTTTAAAAACGACAATTGGGACCCCCGAGAAGGTTTTACATTTTTAGAAAAGACAATTGGGATCGCCGAGAAGGTTTCACATAAAAAAAAACAGTTGGGACCCCCGAGAAGGTTTTACATTTTTAAAACCGACAATTGGGACCCACGAGAAGGTTTCACACTCATAAATAAATGCATTTGGGTCCCCGAGAAGGTTTTACATTTAAAAAAAAGACAGGTGTGACCCCCGAGAAGGTTTCACATTGTTAAAAAAAAAAACATTTGGCGCTCCCGAAAACGTTTTACATTTTTAAAACCGACAGTTGGGGCCCACGAGAAGGTTTCACATCCATAAATAAATGCATCTGGGGTCCTCGAGAAGATTTTACATTCTAAAAAAAACATTTGGCGCTCCCGAGAAGGCTTTACATTTTTAAAAACGACAATTGGGACCCACGAGAAGGTTTCATACTCATAAATAAATACATCTGGGGTCCTCGAGAAGGTTTTACATTTTTAAAAACGAGAATTGGGACCGTTGAGAAGGATTCACATTCATAGATAAACGCATTTGGGGTCCCGAGAAGGTTTTACATTAAAAAAAAAAACAGTTGGGACCCCCGTGAAGGTTTTACATTTTAAAAAAGACAGTTGGAACCCCCGAGAAGGTTTTACATTGTTAATAAAAGACATTAGGCGCCCCCGAGAAGGATTTACATTTTTAAAAACGACAATTGGGACCCCCGAGAAGGTTTTACATCTTTAGAAAAGACAATTGGGATCGCCGAGAAGGTTTCACATAAAAAAAAACAGTTGGGACCCCCGAGAAGGTTTTACATTTTTAAAACCGAAAATTGGGACCCACGAGAAGGTTTCACATTCATAAATAAAAATAAATGCATTTGGGTCCCCGAGAAGGTTTTACATTTTTAAAAAAGACAGGTGGGACCCCCGAGAAGGTTTCACATTGCTAAAAAAAACATTTGGCGCTCCCGAGAACGTTTTACATTTTTAAAACCGACAATTGAGACCCACGAGAAGGTTTCATACTCATAAATAAATGCATCTGGGGTCCTCGAGAAGGTTTTACATTAAAAAAAAAACAGTTGGGGCCTCCGAGAAGGTTTTACATTTTTAAAACCGACAATTGGGACCCTCGAGAAGGTTTCACATTCATAAATAAATGCATCTAGGGTCCTCGAGAAGATTTTACATTCTAATTTCGAGAATTGGGACCGTCGAGAAGGTTTCACATTCATAATTAAACGCATTTGGGGTCCCCGAGAAGGTTTTATATTAAAAAAAAGGACAGTTGGGATCCCCGAGAAGATTTACATTGTTAATAAAAGATATTTGGCGCTTCCGAGAAGGTTTTACATTCTTAAGTAAATACATTTGGGGCCCCCGAGAAGGTTTTACATTTTTCAAACCGACAATTGGGACCCTCAAGAAGGTTTCACATTCATAAATAATTGCATTTGGGGTCCCCGAGAAGGTTTTACATTCTAAAAAAAAAAAAAACATTTGGCGCTCCCGTAGAGGTTTTACATTTTTAAAAACGACAATTGAGACCCCCGAGAATGTTTTACATTTTTATTAGACAGTTGGGACCCACGAGAAGATTTCATACTCATAAATAAATGCATCTGGGGTCCTCGAGAAGGTTTTACATTAAAAAAAAAAAACAGTTGGGGCCTCCGAGAAGGTTTTACATTTTTAAAACCGACAATTGGAACCCGCGAGAAGGTTTCACATTAATAAATAAATGCATCTGGGGTCCTCGAGAAAATTTTACATTCTAATTTCGAGAATTGGGACCGTCGAGAAGGTTTCACATTCATAATTAAACGCATTTGGGGTCCCCGAGAAGGTTTTATATTAAAAAAAAGGACAGTTGGGACCCCCGAGAAGATTTACATTGTTAATAAAAGATATTTGGCGCTTCTGTATTCTTAGAGAGATCTCATTTGCCAAATTCGCTCTTATGTTTTAGCAGGTACTAGCCCCGCCCACCCGCCTTTTATTTTCTTAGAGGGTTGGTCATCTGCCAAAATCAGTTTTATCTTAGCCCCGCCCACCCGCCCTCTCTTTTTTTAGAGTGTATGTCATTTGCGAAATCAGTCTTATCTTGGCAAATACTAGCTCCGCCCACCCACCCTTTTTTTTCTTAGAGGGCGTATCATTTCCAAAATCAGTTTTATTTTAGCAAGTACTGATAACAACATTACGAGCTTACTTATATGTATGCACAAGGTGGTAGGAATTTTGAATATCTTCTCAGTATAATAGAGTTTTTCCCTTTCGGGTTCACTACCGCGTCCAGATGGGCGCCAGGGAATGACTCAAATCCATTTTCGAAGTTTAGACCATCGATGTCATTCTTCGATAGCCTGAACTTTTTTTTCCCATCCTTTATATTGTCAGGAACTACTCGTCAATGTCCTATGTACCCTCTCACCCATTTCTCCTATCCTCCTACTTTATTGTCTCGTTTTTCTTATCTTTTTTATCAGTTCTTCGGTGTACTGACTGATTCTGTCGCTATTTTCTTTAGATTGGATCATCGTTTCGATGATTTCCTCTGCTTTCATTTTTCTCTCCGCTTCTTTTTCGACTGTCTCCCTTTCCTTCTTATCTTCTCCAGGTTCTCATTCACCTCTCTTCCTAGTTCTTCTTCGCCCTTATCCTTAACTCGTATACAATATTTTACAAAACTGGACTAATGTGAAGTATTCTCCGATTACTCAGGAAAATCCCAATACCTGACCTGGGCTGACCTCTTCTTAGATAATAACTGATTTAACCCTTTTAGCGAATGCACTACCTCGGAACCTAAATTCAGGTCAACTCAGGCCAGAACATGATTTCATCGGATTCAGCAATGTTCTTCCACCATGGCTTCTTATCCTGGCCAAGTAAGAGCCGAAGCTGGCAGTCAATAGATCATCTCTTCGTACTTTGTATACACCCAGGGTACAATGTCTGGAATCAGTTTCCTTGTCCAGCTGGCTCTCTTCTCCTTTCTTCATATGTCTTGCTACCAAGTCATCATTCTTGCTCTTACCTCACTTCTCTCTTGGAAGGTGTTTACAATTTCGACCATCGTCGTCTTCAGGTCAGTGAATCATTCGGAGGGGAAAAACTTCGTAGGCCCCTGGAAAGTTATCCCAGGTACTGTTAGATTCCCGCCAGAAAATAATCGGGGGTGGATCTACCAACTAAAAATCCCTCTGCGTTTTTCTTTCTCCCTGGGACCGCTTCCGCATTACTTCAAGAGACTCAACCTTTTTTGTAGAGGAAATCCTGGTAGTGTCCGACTTTTACCGACTAGACCCCTTTTCCGAGCAGATGTTGCACTTTTCCTTCTGGCTCTTCTTTTTTGCTTCTGATCGCAGCTACCGTCCTTGGTATCGCTTCCCAGTCTTATTTGGTTCCTCAGTATTTGGGATGTTCTCTGGATCTGCTTCGCAGTCTAGCTGCTCTGTCATCCTATGTTTCATTCGTTTCATCTTTAAAGGGACCTGACTTGACCTTACCTGACCTGACTTGAGCTAGCCTAAGCTAATCTTACTTGACCTGACTTGACCTGATTTAACCATGACTTGACTTGCTCTCTGATTTATCCTAATCTAGCCTGACCTGACCTGCCCTAACTGTCGTCAGTCTTCTAAAGTCCTCTTTTTAACTACAACTTGTTCTTTAGCTTTTTAACACTCTTCAATGTCTAGAACATGTATGCATGCAACATTCGATGACTAACATAATCATGTCGATATTCATCATTTATAGTCCGAGAACCGACAGAAACACAACAGTGCGACACATCGCCAAATTTCACGTAAATCGAAGTTGATTTTTCAACCAACTCCAACGTTTTGAGACCTTCGTTTCACCGTTTTTTTTCTTTTTCAGAGAAAACTCGACTGTTTTGGAGAAGTTCCATCTACAAATATCCCAACACGAGCTCTACCCCGCCGATAGCGAGCTTGTCGACTTGCTGATTCACGAGATGGCCACAGAACCCATCGTGCATGTCTGTAAGTTGCATTACATTGTTTTACTGTTTTATCGATTCATCGTCGGAGGCTGTTTTAAATTGCAACAGTGCAACACAAGTTGAAAGCCGGTTAAATATTGACTTGGAAAGTCATGCTAATGTGCACTGTGTAGTATGTGACGTATTTTGAAGCGGAATTCAGGATTATGTTGTTGAAAGCTCAGTTACACAAAGGGAGACTGACACAGGGCAGATAAGTGGCGTAGTGTTGCACGGTCGTTAAATAGGGGGGCGACGATGCGCAGTGTACACATAAAAAAATGGGTATTGACAAACTGAGGTAAAATTGTAATAACGTAAAACTAGTTGTAGCTGTATATTTTCGTAAAGATTTTCGCCAGTTTCGAGTCTCCATATGCAGAGCAATGCCTGATTCATTAATGTTTGTTATGTTGCAAAACATACAGCTACCTTGTGACAACAATATGGCTGTGTTTGCTTTCGTGTGTTTAGTTTTGTTATATCAAAACACTGCAGAAGCCACATTCTACGAAATGTCCCCCTGTAGCAAAGTAGTTCGGTAATGGCGCTCCATAAAAAATTACAACAACACAAAAGAATGAAGAACACAGTACAAAGACGTCGTGCTTTATTTTAACAATACACTCTGGGACAAATAACGGTTCTTAAAGCACAATGCAGTTGCATAAACATTGTTGCGCTTTCGTTTGATTATCGGGAAAATCGAATCCGAACAGAAAATGAAACACAGAAATCTTGATTTACTCACTTGAAAGTGTTAAATTAGAAGCAGTCAGTCACTCTGACGGTGCTGCTTTTTGCATCGATGTCAATTAGTAGGGCTATTTATACGATATTGATCTTCCTCAAAAATCGGAAATTTCCACGAAGGCGTCCCTAATATAAGGTTTATTAGAGAATAATGCGCTTATTTACTAAACTAATATTTCGCCAATTATATGAGTAAACTCGGTCTAGAGTTAAACCAATATTGACGGCTATCATATTGGACATTAGCCCATCACAATGCAGCCACTGTTTGGCTTGGTTTCAACGTTAGCACGAGTATCGAACCAGAAGTCTATTGTAGTTGTATAGTGGTGGAGATGAGCATAAAAGTGGGCAGTGTCTAACCACTAGACGTTTATAACCGTTTATAATGAAAGAGCTTGTTTTTACTTCAAGATTTATTTGAATGATTTTTTTAATTGTTAAATTGCTCACTTGTCACACACTCATCATTTTTTTTTTATTTGCCGATACCAAGGATTGACATTAAAAATTAATTTGCTTTGTTTTTAGGAACTTTAAGAAAACGGTATTTAAATATTATTTAATTATATCGTGAAAATTTATAGCTTTGATCAACCAACTTCAATCGTTTTGAAAATTTCCCCAAAATTTAAACTTTGTCGAGTAAACGAATCACGGAACCTGATAAATTAAAACTGAAGTCGTACTTATCCTGTTTTCGGTCCTTTTCGGAAAAATATCCATTTTCTTTCGTGTTCACAGCAATAACAACACATTTTCCCTAATATTTGTTAATAATAAATTAGAAATTCGCGAAATTGCTCTACTTTTACGCCAAAAAGACGCGACGATCTTATCGCCATCAAACAGAAATTAAAACTGAACACAAAGGACCGAAATACGTGAACTTTGGACAGGTAGCTCACGTGACAGTGACGTCATCGCACGTCACGATGAGATTGCAAAAATTATTTATCGTATTTTGGCCGGGAAATTAAGACGTTTTCAGGATTAACTTAACAATATTTAAACAAATTGCTTTGTTTTTAATACCATCGTGTTTTTAGTAAAACGGTTTTCGATTTGATTATCATATATTAATAGTTACTTACCATATTTGAGCATTATAAACAATATTAATTATGCCTAAATTGTATTTAATTATATCGTGAAAATGTACAGCTTTGACCGATTAACTTTAACCGTTTCGAAATTTTTTCCAAAATTTAAACATTGTCGAGTTAACGAATCATGGAACCCGATAAATTAAAACTGCAGTCGTACTTCTCTGTTTTCAGTCCTTTTTGGAAAAATATCCATTTTTTTTTCGTGTTCACAGCACCAACATAATACATTTTCACTAATATTTATTATTAATAAATTAGAAATCCCTGAAACGAGCCTTACTTCTAAGTCAAACCGGAGCTCCAATGTTGCTGCCATCAGACCGAAATTTAAACTGAACACAAGAGGCCGAAAAATGTGACCTTTGCTCAGGTAGCTCACGTGACAGTGACGTCATCGTACGTCACGATGAGATTGCAAAAATTATTTTTCATATTTTGGCCGGGAAATTGCACATTTTCGGTGTTACTTTAGTAATATTTAAACAAATTGCTTTGTTTTTAGAAACTTTGTCTTTTTAAGAAAACGGTGTTCGATTTAATTATCATATATTAATACATATCGTATTTAAACATTATAAATAATGTTAATTATATTTAAATATTATTTAATGATATCGTGAAAATGTATAGCTTTGATCGATAACTTCAATCGTTTTGAAAATTTCCCTAAAATTTAAACTTTGTCGAGGAAACGAATCACGGAACCTGATAAATTAAAACTGAAGTCGTACTTACCCCTTTTCGGAAAAACATCCATTTTCTTTCGTGTTCACAGCACCAACAGAACACATTTTCACTAATATTTGTTAATAATAAATTAGAAATTCGCGAAATTGCTCTACTTTTACGTCAAAAGGACGCGACGATCTTGTCGCCATCAAACAAATTAAAACTGAACACAAAGGACCGGAAAAGGTGACCTTTGGACACGTAGCTCACGTGACAGTGACGTCATCGCACGTCACGATGAGATTGCAAAAATTATTTTTCATATTTTGGCCGGGAAATTAAGACATTTTTAGGATTAACTTAACAATGTTTAAACAAATTGCTTTGTTTTTAATACCATCGTGTTTTTAGTAAAACCGTTTTCGGTTTGATTATCATATATTAATAGTTACCATATTTGAGAGTTATAAATAATATTAATTATGTTTAAATTTTATTTAATTACATCGTGAAAATGTATAGCTTTGACCGATCAACTTCAACCGTTTCGAAATTTTTTCCAAAATTTAAACATTGTCGAGTAAACGAATCATGGAACTTGATAAATTAAAACTGAAGTCGTACTTTTCTTCTACTCATTCTTGATTCTGGATCTGATGTACACTACCTTAATTTATCAGTGCAGAATGTCTGGAATGGAATGCTTTAGAACTACTCTACACGTTGACAGTAGATTCTGTTCTAGAACTCCAGTTTTCCTCCCGGCTCGTTCTCAGTTATAATTGTTCTACAATAGGATTATATTCGCGATTCTTCTCGATTCTAGCATATTCTTCTTATACTCACTGTGTCACTAGATTCACTTCATATATCTTCTTCTATACTGTTTTCAGGTGGTATGTCAACTAAATTCGTTGACATTCTGCTTTCTGCCCTTTATTTAATCGTGGAATATTGCTGAAATAATCTTTTTTTTCCAGAAGAATATTTCTGATCTTCTTATTTTTGTTTTTTTTAATTTTTACTTCCCGAGCGTAAGCAAAGGAAGTATTGTAATCGAGTCCGTCGGCCGACTCTCTACTTTTACGTTTTCTCGATCTTTCATGACCCCTAGAAGACGAAGAAATAGGTCTCCCATTTCCGTCTGTCTGTCCGTCTGTCCGTCGGTCCGTCTGTCCGTCCGTCTGTCCGTCCGTCTGTCCGTCTGCCGTCCCGGATTTTTATTAGACAGATAATCTCCGAAAGTACTCGACCGATTGTTGTGAAATTTTGTACTTATATTAAGAATATCATGTAGATGGTAAAACGCTAACCAAAATTTGTCTAATCATCCCCACCACTAATGGGATGACGTCACTTCAAAATTGTACATAGTAAATGGGTTTTCAATTGTATAAAATAACATAGTCCTACACATGTAGTTTACAACTCTGAATCGACTTTTCACCCGAAACGTCCAGATTTTTGGAAAAAAAATCAAAATTATAAAACAACATTTTGAAATTTAATTTTTAATCTGCTAACCAGAATGCTTTGAAATGTTGCAGATGTTTTAAGGCTATAAAGAGCATCATAAATCTTTAGTCAAAAAATATTTGCTTATCCCCTCCAAAAACTTGATGACGTCAGCTCAAAAGTTTGTGGAATAAATCATATCTAAAATGTACAAAATATGATGAGTCTGTACTTGTGATCTATCACTCCATTCATATTTTTTGGATTTGCATATACAGGGTGACTCAAAAAAATTAATGAATGCGAAAATATATTTTATTGATTTAATCAGGAACTACAAAACCGAATGCTCTGAAATCTTGCAGATGTTTTAAGGTCATAAAGAGCATAATAAATGTTTAGTCAAAATATATTTGCTTATCCCCTCCAAAAACTTGATGACGTCAGCTCGAAAGTTTGCCGAATAAATCATATCTAAAATGTACAAAATATGATGAGCTTGTACTTGTCATTTATCACTCCATTCATATTTTTTGTAAATTTATTTTATTGATTTAATCAGGAACTACAAAACCGAATGCTTTGAAATCTTGCAGATGTTTTAAGGTTATAAAGAGCATAATAAATTTTTAGTCAAAATATATTTGGTTATCTTCTACAAAAAACTGATGACGTCAGCTCAAAAGTTTGCCGAATAAATCGTATCTAAAATGTACAAAATATGATGAGTCTGTACTTGTGATTTATCATTCCATTCATATTTTTGGATTTGCATATGCAGGGTGACTCAAAAAAATTAATGAAGGCGTGAATTTATTCTATCGATTTAATCAGGAATTACAAAACCGAATGCTTTGAAATCTTGGGAATATTTTAAAGTTATTATAAGCATGGTAAACTTTTGTTCAAAATGTATTTGTTCATCCCTCCTAAAAAAATTGATGACGTCACCCTTAAATTTTGCTGAATAAATTCTATCTAAAATGCAAAAAATATGATGAGTTTGTACTTGTGA